CAGAAGGCACCTGAAGACTATGAATAGTAATGCTTTTCATTGCTATGATTACAAATGTAATATGGTAGTTTGTATATCAGAACAAAATATTTCTTGGAATCAGTCAAAAGAATTTAATTTTCTTAAATTAAGGTAGCAATAGTTTTCTATGTATTTTAGATTTGGCCTATTGGTTTGGAACTCTGCAAAAAATATTTCCAGTGTCTCACTAGGGAAATATTAATTAATCAGTACCTTAAATATCTGCTTAGGGAAAAATCATAAACCTAGTGTAGAAAGGGAAATGGCAAACAATTTTATTTATATTTTTAAATCACAGTTTAGTCTAATATCTTTAATAATGCAGCATAATGCAGCAGGGACTCAAATTACATTTTCCCATTAAATAGGAAATTTCAGTTGAATGTATAAATAAATCCACCAAAGTCCAGTGGGCAATATACACTGATATTTACAACAGACAGCAGGTTTCTGCATGTATTTTGAATAGAGCTACTAGATTTGAGCTGTGAACATCCAGATGACCATGAAATAACAACAAAGAGATATTTTTAACTACTTGGATTGCTTGGAGTTTTGTACCCCAAATCTGATAAACCTAATTCTGAAGGCTTTGCTGTTAGGGTTCCTAATATGCCTTTGGTAAAAGTAGAAGGGAGAATAACTTTTCCACTAATAACTTGCAGTGTTGTGTGGAAATACATACTTTGTTCTTCTTACTTTATTCAATAGGGAACCAGCACTTCCATGGCTAGTAATACTGATTTACTGTGTAACACACCATTACATTACCTTACATTCTGGAATGTATTATCTGAGATTGACCACAAATACAACAGAACAATGCAAGTGAGTTTGAGAAGCAATACCACTTTATGTATCTCTATTCAAAACAGCCTCAAAATTTTACTAAAGAGTGTTACTCTACAATAGGTTTTTAAAAGTTTACAGACAAGTGTACTGAAAGTAATTCAGCCCAGCAATATATTTTATCAAAAAATTAAACTTTGATTTTTACACACATGGGTATGTCAGAGATTCTTTTTTTCTTGGGCTGATCTGGAAGTCAGGTTTTCATTTGCCTCCACTAAAAGCACCTTAATTGAAACAGACATAAAAAGCCAGGTGGTTAAAAATATTAAAAACTAGTCTAAGAATATACATTCTTCATGACACAAGGGACATGAAGGCCATTCAGAAGAAGAAAAGGGATCTAGAGCTTCAATTTTTCTCAAGACCAGGTTGAGCGCTGAAGTATCATTCTCCTGCCACCTGGGAAGGCCCATTGGAAGAAGCTTCCGCTCTCTGAGGCTCTCAGGGGTCCAGGTAGCCTTGCATCTGATGCCTTTCTTACAGTTTGATTCATACAGTGTCAAAGCAAATGGGTTTATGTCACTTACCTGTGCAGTTTTCACACACTATGATGGACATTCACATGGTTTCACAGTTTCATACTTCTCCCTGTTACCTATGGAAATATTGTCTGGAAACAAACTATATAAAATACAGCAGCAGCAGCAGCCTTGAAGGGAGAAGGAGCTGCATTTTACATCAGGCGGATGGAGGCGCTGCAAGCCCAGAGTTGGGAGTGAAAAATAAGTGAGAAAGGATGATGTGTATTGAAAGGGGAAAAGCACCCATTTAAAGTGAGGAAGTACAAACGAAGCTGCCTCTTGCTTGTTTTTCTGACTCTTCTGCACAACTCAAACTCCCACCAGGCCATTTTTTATCCTCCTTCTTGTCTAAAGCAAAGCGTGTTCAAGATGCTTTCTTCCCATCTCTGCAAGCGTTGCCTTTTCAAGCCTAGAAGAGTTCAAAAAAGGAGGGAGGCTTCAATGTTATTGATGGTTCAAAGCCTGCTCCTCCTCCAATTTTCCTTTTCCAAGACCAGTTGCGAGCATAGGGTGAAAAGAGGGATGCCGGTCTGGTGCTCTTCCAGCTATATGGGGCAAGGGAGTGGGGTGTGAAACAAGGGCAGAAACATCAAGGGTCAGAGTCTCACGATGATCCTGGCTTTGCCTTTTCTGTTCTGCGGCTGGCAATGCCACTGCAGCTTTGAGAAGTCAGCAGCTCTTACATGCCAGTGGCACTTCTCTTGCCCCACTTCCTGCCCCCCTAAAGGAGATGCTGTTGCTATTTGCACCCGCATCCTCCTCACAACCATTCGTCCTGCCTAATTCCCTAGGCAGTCTGCCATCCTTCCCTCTCTCCACGCCTTGTATAGGTTGAAATTGTGGGAAATCCGGACTTCACAGAACTGGGAGAAACAGGACAGAGAAAAGTGAAACATGCCCGAAAACCATGGCAGGAATGATCAAGACAGCCACTTCCTCCTTCTTGTAATGAAGGAAATGAAAGAGATGATGCCTGCTAATGGAAAAGCCAGAATTGGGTGGTCTATAATTTTAATCTGCAAATCAAACTCTAGAAACTCTCCCCACTTTTTGCTCTTCGGGAACCAACTGCTTCCCCCTCCCACCACACCCAGCTTCATCACTGAAGAAAATATTGATCTGAATCTGATGGCACTTCTTGATCCAAGAGTAAAAACTGTGCATGAATGGGATATGAATAATATAGCTGAACACCTATATTTAAAAAGGAGTGTTTCCAAACATGATTCCCCACAACAGTGGGTGAAGAGGAGTTCTACAACAGAAGCAATTTCCTCTTTTTCCCTTCCTCTGCTCCTGCAAAAAGGTTAATCAAGAGGCCGATGGAACCATCAGCCAGTAAAGCCCAGTCCTCTGCAAACTTGGAGAATTTCTTCTGAATGTTTCCATTTCTGGGGCAAGGGAAAAATGTCCAAAGGGTGCATCTATTTTGGCTTCCATGCCCATTTTCTGAGCAGCTAGAAGAGATGATTGGCTTACTGTGCTGTTCAGAGACAGCCTGCATGTTCTTTTCTCTGCAGGGGAATAGCCCCCTTGCCTTTGCTCATCTGTAGTCTCCTACCCATTTGCTTGGTGATTAGGACTGGGCACAACTCTTTGAAACATTGGGAGGCCTTTCCTCACTACCAATTTCTACCCTGCATCATGCAACTTACCCTGCGCTGATTAATTTGTAAGAAAGATAGTCTTTTTATTGCTTGCCACAATAAAGGCTGGGCCACACTAGCACACACTACAAAGCACTAGTGAGGAAAGGGCCACAAAGAGGAAACTAGAGGACAGGCTTGAGGTATCTAAACCAACTGGATTCCATTGAAGTTCATTGGAATTGGGCAGCTAATGAATTCAAACAAACAAACAAAAATCTGTCACCCAAGGAGAGGGTTAGGGAGGCACCCCTTACACATCAGCAGTCTTTGCTGGCAAGTCTGAGCAGAATGACACAAGATTTGAGCACCTGGATATAATCTCCATGATTTAAGGGAGAGCTCCACTGATGACTATTGGATTAGCAGCATGGTTGGGGCCACAGAGAAGGTGCCTTTCCGCACAAGCAGTTAATGTGCCACCTAGCACTCCCTATATAAATAAAACAGAAGAGCCACCATAAACTGTGATAGCAGCTTGCGTTCATGGTGTTCTGCTACTAAAGACCTTATGAAAGGTCTGCTATTGTTTTCAGAATAGTGATGGTCAATATGCAACAGGTCACCTGACCATAAAAAAGATACATGCTTTTTAAATATATCTTGTTACTGTGGTTTGGCAACATGCATTCTGGGCCAGGGACAAGATAAAACACCATCAGGGAGGGGTTGCAGAGGATTCTGGAAGGAAAAGCTTAAGTGAGGAAAACGCCAGCATATGCGCAGAGGCTGTTCCTCGTGCTCTGATTTTAGGGTGTGTGCAATCCAACTTGTTTAATGAAGCATGAACAAGCAATTGAAGGTGAGAAAGAGACGAGTTAGGCACAGCTGCTGCTTTTTGTTGAATGCACGCTTCCCTCATGCCCCAAAATGGCACTATTCAGGGGTAAAGAGATCCCGGAATTCCTGGCTGGAGCGGGGCGGGCTGCTGCCAAGAGAAAAGCGTCTCCAATCCTCTTTTCCAGCCGACAGTAATGCTGTGGAAAGGAGAGGTTGCCATTGGCTGTTTACTATTTGGTCTGTGCACTCCTCTCCAAATAACGGTGGCACTTTCAGGCACCTTTTTTCAAACATGCAGAGCCGCCTCCCTTCGTTCGCGCCTTCGTTCTGTGACCGGCATAACGAGCGCGCGCTCTCCGGGGTGCCCGGCGAAAGGTGGGATTATAATGTACGAAAAAGGCGGGAGCCTGAAAACTTGATTTTCTGGGCTTTGCTTGGTATATAGCGAGTGGCTTCTCTGCACCCCTCAAGTCATGAGGAGAAACAAGGGAAATGACTTAGAAAAGAAGGGTCGGGGGATGACACGGTGGCTTGTTGGATGAGGAGGACGAGAGGTCTGGGGTGCTCATTTTTGCACGGATTGATGAGCGAGCACTGGCAGCAGCGAGGCAGCTGTTGCATAAACGGGCGAGCGTCTGCTCAGATCCTCCCGCCCCACGTTAACACGGTCTTGGATTAAAATGTAGGCGCGCAAGCACACGAGCACAGCACTCGGTGCTGTGTAGACGGCAGAGCGTGCGCGGCTGAGGGGCAACAACAGGCGAGAAGGGCTGGAGACGAAACGCTGAGCCGCCAGAGAAGAGAGACCCCCGAGAAAGCAGGGGGCCGCGGACGGTTGCCGAGAGAGGCGGTCGCCTGCCTACAGTTGGCGATGGGGCCGGGCGGGAAGCTCGGGGGCATGGACGGACGCGGTAGCCCCTTCTGAGAGCCGGGCACGGAGGAGCAGAGGGACTAGCCGGAGGGTCTGCTTGGCGCCGCCTGAGATTCAGGGCTCCAACCGCGCCGGGACTGGATCTGCGTTCGCGTCCAGGGGACGGTGCATCGCCGAATATGAGTTTCGGCGTTTCTCTCCGCTGATGCCTGTCACGTCTGGATTTGGGTCCCGGGGTTTTCCTTCTCCGCCGGCGGTGCTGCGGGATTTCCAAAAGTTGCCATTCGCCCCTCATTCGGCCTCCCAGGCTCCCTTCCATCATGTGCGCCAACGTCGTTTACGAGTGGTTGAAGACCCTGAAACTCACCCAGTACGCCGAGTCTTTTGTGGATAATGGCTACGATGATCTGGAGGTGTGCAAGCAAATCGGGGAGCCGGACCTGGATGCGATCGGGGTGTCGATGCCACAGCACAGGCGCCGTCTCCACGAAGCCGTGCGGAGGCTGAAGGAGGAAGACGAGACCACCGCCGGCCTCTACTTCACCTTGGAGCCGCAGCCACCTCGGCGGAGCTCGCCAGGGCCCGAGATCTACCCCAGAAGCGGGGAGGAGCAGCGCGAAACCAAGGCGAGGAAGGAGCCACTCCGTAAGGTCCCATCGCCGGGTCACCTTCGGGGGAAAAAGGGGGCGCCGCGGAAAATGGGACTCAGCGGCAAGGAGCTGACCACTTACCCCAAACTCAGACTGAAAATCATGATTAGGGATAAACTCATCCGGGATGGGATCACCCTCAGCAAGCCCCCCTATTCCAGCAAGGTAAGGCAGGAGCGCTGTGCCTTAAATCATGTTGGTGTTGCTGGTTTTCTTGTTATCGTTGCTACGTAATTACTCGAGTCTCCTCGTTTGATGGAGAACACGCTTTGCAAAGAGAGAACTTTTTCGCTTTCTTCGCCAATTTGAGTTTACTTGTTGTAAGTTTGTAATTAGAAAGTTGGGTTTGTTTCGGTGTTGGAGAAGTTGTTTTCTTCCATGTGCAGTTAAAAGTTTGACTGTGGATTCCAGTTTCAGTATAATCCATTTCTCATGTGAAAATAGTTAAATATGAATATAAGCAGATAACATAAGTCTCATAATGGTTCAGTGAAGTTGCATTACCTTGCACTTATATTGGAATATCTGTGAAAAAAGATGGCAGTATGATGATGCCAGTAGTGTTTCTTAATATTTCAATTTAATTCTTGATAGAGGAAAGTCTGTCTGATAAGAGTTATCTGAATCTCAAGAGCGTAAAATGGAAATATTTATAATACATCTGTTGAGGTGTGTGAAACTGATACAATCAACAAAGAAATCTTGAATTAAGAGAAACAGTTACATGATGCATGTTTATAGTTACTCTTTTACTGAAAGTTGTACCCCATTCCTGTACATGCTTATTTGAAAGTAAGTGGCACTGCAGTGAAAGTGATTGCCAAGAAAACACATGATATATGATTGCAGGTAATCATCCAAGTTTGTTCTCCTTTTATGCAAAAAAAAAAAAGTCCATGGCATTGAGGCTATTGACAATCACTATCAGCTGTGATGATTTTTAAGGAAGTGTCAAGTATCTGCAAGTTTTTTTTTTATTGCATTCAACAATTGCCTTGAATTTTGAGACATTTTTAAAATCATGCTTCTGTACAAGGAGCAGACAATTACAGAATGTTTATTTTAATAAACCAAATAGCACTGTGTGTGAAGTTCAAGTTAATCTACTTTCACTGCAGAATTGGTTTATGTGAGTGACAGGTAAAATCGTTATCGCAATCTTGTATATGTAATGTAAGTCTATAATATTATAAGCTTCTCACAGATGGGCATTGAGCTCAGAAAACATATATTTCACAGTTGTCATGGATAATGGATATGACTAGCCAGCATGCAGGAAAAAACAGTTCTAAATGCAAATAAATGAATGAATGGAAGTAAAAATTTGAAGGAAGATATGTAATGTCAGTCTACCAAATGGAGGTATACTATAAACTGAGATGAAATGAAAAGGTGTTAAGGAAGAGCTATGTTAGTTGTGAAATGTAGGTCAAAATAATTCAGAAATAATTGTAAAAGGTACACACATACACAAAGTTCAGCCATGCAATCTGTAGGAATAGAGTAGGAGTACAAATGGGAATATTGTATATTGTGACACTAAAAGATGAAGGAACAAAATATTTCCTTTTACCCCAGTTTTGGACAGATTATAGCAACAAAAGAGTAATAGCAACCCATATTCAGTGTACCAGATGTCTAATATGAATTGGCAAATATGGCGTGTGAACTCTTGTATCCACTGTAAATGAATAATTTTCTGAAGCAATTTGCCTATTATCTGGTGTGTCCTTTTACTGATAATTTAGTCTGAAATTATTTTTGGAGGTACAAACATAAAAGATAAATCTTGGTAATACCTTCTGACTTGACAACATAAAAATATTTTCATTTTCAATTTTATATTTTTGTAATGAATATTGTGTCCATTAATTTCCTTCTATGATAATGATAAAATATTGTCAGGTATATGGAAGATGTTAGAAAATCAGAAAATATTGTTGCTTACACTTCTTTAAAATACCTTACATTTTCCAATGGAGAATACTTAAAAACTACAGTTAGACAGTTCTGTCCCACTTTGTCAAGGAGTTTAATAATGCTGATTCTGATGAATATAGGGAATAATTGACTTACATGTAGCACAACATTTCAGGGTACTGAACATAAAATAGCTAAATGCCCCTAGTTATTTCATTAAGTTCTATATTGTTTCACATTTCTGTATTTAATATTTCTAGTAACTAAAGATAGCATTCATTTGTAATTTCCTTTTGTAGCCCATTGTTCATGAAAAATACTCCAGGACTGGTAAGAATGTAAAACCATAAATTAAAAACATTTAAAAAGTAATAGGAGAAAAAAAGCATATTATAAATTTCAGTATAATGGTTACAGTAGGCCACTAATTAGTCATCAATACCTACAGAGCATGTAAATCTTAACCAATTGCTGAATGAAAATGAAGTTAGTGCTTGGACACTCTATTTCAGATGCCACCTCAGAGTAATACTATCTTAAATCACTACCAGGTGTTTCATCCAGTGTTAGGACAAGATGGTCCTTCCATCCTCCACCTCCACCTCCAGATCTAAGAGTGCAGGCAGGTCAGATTCCCAAGGTCTAAGTCTTGTAAGGCTGAAGTGACTGAAGTGAGAAACAGCTGTTGTATAAATGTGGAACTGATATCGATCTTCGGAGCTTGGCTAGGAATCCATTGATTTGAAAAGACAGGAGAAAAAGTCCAAGGATTTAAATCCCTGAGTCTGTCTGTCTGCACCTCTGTCTCTCCCTCTCTCCCTCTCTCCCTCTCTCTCACACACACACAGTATTAGATTGCCAAATATGCATAGTATGTTTGGAAAGAAGCTCAAACTTGGCACACATAGACACATACACTGAGTGATTTTGTGACTGTAATCAAAATCTTTATTCCTGGAGCTCTGATTCCAGCAAAATGCCACTATCCTACATCACAAACAGAGCTGGCTTACCTAAAAGAGTTTACTGATGACAATTTACAAAAGAATTTGATCTGACCTTCTTCGTGCTCTGTGAGCTCTCCGTTGTTGTTGTTGTTGTTGTTAATAAAAACGTTGGCTGTCTTACAGGATCCTGAACTCTGTAAGTATTAGAGATCTTTATCCTTTCCCCATAATTTCTGAACTCTTAGAATGGCTGCCAAATTGGTCACTTTGGGTAGATGGTTCATGCCAGAAAAGGACATGGGGAGTGTGACACTTAAGGCCCATCCACACAGCTGCTTTGCTATGTTTTACTTCCATCCTGGGGCTGAGAGAAAATCATGTCAAGATAAAACACACTCTCCATACAGTGTGCCCTTAACACACATCCAGAATGAGGCCATGCTGTGCTGCTATCCCATACAGCACATGTGATACTGAAAGGGTAGTGATTGCCCATTTTCTCTGGCTGAAATTTGAGTGTGCAAAAAATTACTGCTAACTGCTGTATAGAATGTGTGCTGGGGTAGTTCTTGTAAGCTCCAGGGACTCTATCCAGTCTATTTTCTTCTGCTTCTTTTCCAAGGGACTATCGACCTATCAAGCTAAAGGCCACTAAATGGAAGCAAAGAGTTTGCTTCTCAACTGCAGTGTAGTGGTTATCTGGATTTGTGCAGCCCAAATGCAACTGCTACATAAGTATTCTTGGAATCAGAGTTCAAGAGAGTAGCTTTGTGTATGTGAAAGATGTTATCATCTGTATGGCACTCTCTGCTACATCCATGTAATTTTTCTAAATTATTATTATTATTGAACGTTCAGTCATTTGACCTAATGACCATGAGGTGGCAGGAAAGAGACAAAATTTTTGTTTCTCAGCTGCCATCTAGTAGTTGCATGGAGTTGTGCAGCTGAGGAGCAGCTGCTGGATAAACATTGAAGAGCTAGAGTCTGAGAAATCATTTTATAGATTTTTGTATTAAATCACAGCCTACATATGCCTCTGGTCATCCAGAAGGGTGGGAGAGAAAAAAAAAAATGGGTCTGTTTGGTGAAGTCATATCCGTATCAGGTTACATTCTAAAATAAAGCAAACTTTTATGAAGAACATTCCATGAGTAGGAGTGAGGAATCAAAGCTTCAGTGAGAACAGGGATCACAGGGAAGGGACTTCCCACCCACCAGTCAGGCAATAGATGCACAAGACCCAAGTCCTTTTAATTACATGTACAATTATATGCATTAAAACGAGGATGGGCTACTCAGTTTCGGGGTTTTGTACTCTCTAGGGTGGATGATTAACCAACCAATTAAAAATAAATTTAAAAAATCAAGCAAGTGTGTGTAACAAACAGGATTCTGGTTTCACTTGCAGTGAAAACAGCACTGCAGAACCACTGTTGCTTGGCACTGGGCAAAGGAACGAGATAGAAGGGGTGATCGACAGCAGACCCGCCAGGCCACTTTTAGCCAAACAGATTGGTGCCCTTGAATGCATCACTTCAAGCATTATTCATGTGCTATGGATTATCCAGATGGGGAGTGGCTTTCCATTTCCCAGGGAAAATACTACATACATATCAGGACATCTTAGCCTGCTTCAGCAATGGTCTTCCTATAAGGTGGAGGCTCCACTGTGAGGACATGTCCTCAGCAAATGGTAAGTGGGTCTTATCACACTCTGGTAAACAGACTATGTGGATAAGGCTTGAATTCTCCTGGATTTCTCAGTGCTTTTGAGATAATTGATCATTGCATTCTTCTGTACTGCTAGCTGGGTAGTTTTATGGCTCAGATCATAGTAAAGTGATGACACTTGGATATTTTCTTTTTCATGTCTGTTGAACTTTAATCTGTGGAGTACCAAGATTTTCCATCAAGATACTATCCAGAGGTTTGAATTTGTTAGCCTTGCGAGGTAGTCCAGGCAAGAAGCACAACAAAGAGTACTAGCTCTATCTTTATTTTAAGGTTACAATGACAGAATCTTTCAAGACTGAAAGTATTTCTTACCTCCTTTCCTTTTACTCTCTGGAAAACTAGGGAGGGTCCCTTCTGAAATGTTTCCCACACTCTCCCTCCTGTGGGCTGAGATATCTTTTACACACTGGTTGTCCAGTCTGTGGCTCTCCCTCCTGTCTCTCAAGGTCATTATCACATACCATTACAGAACTGTAGTGTCTCCAATACACTTTCATTGTCATTTTAAATGTGATCCTATTACAGAAAAGTAGAGTAGCCTCAATTATTCATGCACTACTCTACTTAGGGCTGGCTTTGAATGTGCTAGGGCTAGGGTTACACTATCCAATCACCAGTCTTATTAGTACC